GGTCAGTGGTGTTACCAGAGTTCACAAGGACCACTGGCCTAGGAGTGAAAAGATACAGAGTCCCGTCAGTTCACCAACCTTCCTTGGAAAAATTCCTTTATTGCTCTGGTACTTGGTGTTTTTTCTTCTCTGTATAATGAGGAGATTGAATAATAAAGTAAAGTTTTTTATTTCTTGTTTTAACACCTCTGATTTAAGCTAAGTCTATTCCTCATTTGAAAGATGTAGAAAATAATGGCTACCTGGCTGTCTCAAGGTTTATTTTGGAAAATGTGAATTGCTGAGGGAAGCAGAACCTGTACCTATTCTGGAATAATTATATAAACTAACTGTTGTGCTATGCAGATGCACTATGTTAAAGAGCCTGGCCAACAGTAAGTGGAATGTACTCTTTGCCCACTGACTTCCTCTACTTTCTAACCCATAATGTTTTCTATTTGATCTTTTTAGATACACATGACAGTAGAGTGTATTTTGACATATTATGCATACATGGAGTATAACTTCCCACTGTTATGGTTGTACATGATGTGGAGTTTCACTGATGGTGTATTCATACATGAACATAGGAAAGTTACGTCCAACTCATTCCACCATCTTTCCAATTCCTATCTCCCTTCCCTTCCTTCTTTCCCCTTTGCCTAATCCAATGTTTCTTTAGAAGTAGTTGTCTCTTTATTGTGTTGAGGCTAGAGGTGGAATTCCTAAAGACATTTATGGATGTGAAATTCAATCTGTTGAGTGTAAAAATACCATGCAAAGAGTAATTATAATGTGGCTGGAAGGTAAAGAGAATTTACATATCATGGATTACATGATGGGGATATTCTTTTATGATAGAATTTTAATTCTGTCATTAATATATATTTAGCCTTAGCATATATTAAATTAACATCAGATGAGTTCCTTCCCCCATCTCAACAAAACATGGTTTTATGCCCATTTGATCCAAAGAAATAATTTAATTCAATACTATCATTTTGAAAGAAAGTAAACAGGCTTGGAATACTTAATGACTTCCACTAAGGACCAGTCAGTAGTAGTACCGAGACTCGTGTTCATGCTATTCTATTTAAGCAGTTATTGGAGAACAGGGGCATGGAGGTGTCAGAGGAAGAAGAAAACAACAGTTTTTAATAATTTACAATTTTGATTTCCTTTGACTCAGTCATCTTCTAATACTAACTGTTTTCTCTTTTCTGTCCTTTAGTTGACTTCTCTAGACATTGAAGGAGGAAGCACTCTTATTCCCAAAGCAGCAGCCCTGATTCAAGGACACAGCACAACTCCATCACCACCTGACATTTCAATAAGCCTTAGCATGCTTCCAACATTCTAATAACATTCAAATCATGGAGAAATGTCCTACTTTACATTGCAAGATCTGTCAGAAAAGCTCAATGTTGGGGTGAGCCACTGTCAGCTCAAAAATCTTTCTTTCCCTCATTTCATTTTTTTTACATTTAAAAAAATCCATTAGAGGATGGATCTATATTCCAGGTTGTTTATAAAAATATATAGTGTATTTACTAAAATACAATTAGCTAGATCTTTATGATTGAACTCACAGACTATTATTAGCATACTATATATTAGAGCATTATTTTAGTCAGCTTTTTTGCTACTGTGGCTTAAAAACCCAACCAGCACAATTGTAGGAGAAGAAGAGTTTATTTAAGAGCTCAAAGTTTCAGAGGTCTTAATCCATAGAAGGCTCCAGATGAGGCTGAATATCATGGCAGAGTGTGTGGCAGAGGGAAGCAGCTCACATCATGGTGATCAAGAAGCAGAAAGAGACAGACTCTGCTCACCAGATACAAATATATACCCCAAAGCCATGCCCGTGCCCTAATTCCCACATCCTCTAGCCATACTCTATCACTCCAGTTAATCGCATCAAAGATTAATTCACTGATGAGTCTAAGGCTATAACCCAATGATTTTTCCTCCAAACCTTCTTGCATTGACTTACACATGAGCTTTCTGTAGACGCCATATTTAAAACATAACACATGTACCTACATGAAAGACCAGGCAGTGTCTTCAGCAATTTTACTTCATTCTTCTCTTGGCAGTCAAAGCACATTTGATAAAACTTAGGGAAATTCTGTACTAGGTAAAACTTTAGACTGGCTGGAACATTTTGCAAAAGAAGATTATTAATAGCTTAGTTACTGGGGGAAAAAGGGAGAAAACAGTGTCTGGTAAGCTTTGGATAGTGACTGTAATTTTCAGATGACAAGAGGCTGAGATGGCTAATTATTATCCAGGAGGAATCATTAAAATATTAGATCATGAAGTGTAATTACAGAGAACAAGCCTATACAAAACTGCCTATTTTTCTACAAATTGAGACCTGAAATATACGTTTCTTCATTATTACCACTATTATTTTTACTAGAATGATAAGATGACATTACATAACTAGGCCGAGTTCCTTTCCTTCTAGATGTGGTCTGATACTCTCTTTCATGGAGGGAATAACACCTGCACCCCAAACAGAATAATGTAATCATTATCTTCAACCTTCACTATTACTAGAATATTAGAAATTTCAGCATGAGTTTATCCTGGGGCCTGTCCTACAGATATCCACATTAAAAGATTATTGTATAAGTTTATTAGAATCCTAAGAAAAAGAGGCGAGTTTGAAACCCACATATACCTTATGAAACTATGATGGAATGGATAAATTTATTCAATTTTTCAACTTTTGAAAATCTAGTAAAGATGACTTTAAATATAGTGGAATAAAGCAAATAATTACTTATTTAATAATGTCAGTGAAAATAACATCCACCTCTGGATCATGAGTCAAAGATTTAAATATCCCTTGAACAGATGACCCCTGCTACTTTTTAAATCCATGCTTATTGAAACATAATTTATATTCAGTAGATACCCTTCACTGATGAATGTATAAAGAAAATGTGGGGTGTGTGTGTGTGTGTGTGTGTGTGTGTGTGTGTGTGTATTAGGGGGGACTCATCCATAAAGAAGAATGACTTTATGACATTTGCCAGCAAATGGATGGATCTGGAGACTATAATGTTAAGTGAAATAAACTAGCCCCTAAAAGCCAAAGGTTGAATGTTTTATCTGATATATGGAAGCTTACCCACAAGAAGGAGGTGGGATGAGGGGAAGAATAGAAGTTCAGTAGGTTAGACAATGGGGAATAGATGGAAATGGAGGATAGGAAAAGGATAGACAGAATAAATCTGACATAATTTTCCATGTACATGTATGAAAACAACACCATGAATCCCACCATCATGTACATCCATAAGAATGGAATCCTAAAACTAGAATAAGATATATTCCATTGTTGTGTAAATACATCAAAATGGATTCTGCTGTCATGTATAACTAAAAACCAATAAATTTTAAAAAATTTAATTGCACTTTTTAGTATATGAGTTTCTACACTGCTACCATTGTACGACCAAGAGAGAAAACATTTTCATCACATTAAACGCTCTCATGTCTCTTCAGTCATGTTAGACTAAAGTAACAATGTGCAAGTTGTAGTTCCCTCTGATCCAGTCCTCCCTGTAGTCTAGCTAATATCAGCAGCTTTGTCTTTTCTGTCCTTCAGTTGGCCTCTCCAAGCACTGAAGAGTAAGACACTGTCGTTTCCAGGGCAACAGCCTTTGATTCCAACATTTACGTGAGTTCTTCCTTTTGATGAGTATGATCCATCATTGTTCTATAAATCGATTGTATGTGTGTGTCTTACCTCAAAAGTTGTTGCATAACTCAAGATCACAAATATTTTCTGCTATTTCAGTTTTACATTTAGATGCATTTTGAAGAGCTATTTTTTTTCACATGGTGTGAGGTATGATTTGTGGATTTTTTTTTTGTATGGATATCTGATTGAAATGCTTGAAAAGGCTATACTAACATGTTGGCATATGAAACTGGCTGTTACCTTGGCCTTTGGCTGGTGATGATGTGGAGTATATCTATCAATTGCTGTTCTTCAGGAGAAACCAGACTTATTTTGGAAAATAATATACAAACAGAGTGAGGCAGGCCTAAAATCTTGTGAGTTTTGAAAGTTCAGTTGGAAATATTTTGTATACCTCTTAAAATCCTTGGTATACAATGGGTCTGACATCATACCTTCCCATTTCCAGGTAACAAAAAATGAACGGAAACTACCCTTGATTAGTGATTCTACTCCCCCAGCCAAAGCTGTACTGGTTGGTTGCAACTAGAAGAATTCAGCAGAATTATAATGTCTCATCAGTGAGATGATGAGTACAAAGCTCACCACTACCATGTTCTTAATTAAACAAAGAAATAAAGAAATGTCACACAGAAATCTGAAATGAGCTACTAAGAAGCTGATGCGTAGGTTTTTTTCAGGCATATTTGACCTATGATTTGTATATCCTTCTCTGAAAGAAGTTTGAAAGGAAATTGAAACAGACCACCTTTTCCCCACCTTTTCTATCCATTTCTCTTCTGTTCTTCAAAATAGATTAGCACGTTTAGAGTTTTAAATAGGGTAATTGGTTAATATAGTCTTAAGCTTATGAAAAAGTAAATTTGAGGTCCCTACTAACTCTGAAAAATACATAGAGAAGACATGATTGCCTATTTAGATCAACCAAAGCATGCAAAACTGTTTTCTTTCCACTTGCCAACCATCCACTACAATTTCCAACCTACTCATTCTTTAAAGCCTTATTCAAATCAGATCTTTTTCACAAATAGTATCCTAATTTATGACCTGATACACTTTCTTTATTACAATGTTCTATTTGTATAAATCTAAATCTCCATGTCAACATCTGTCGATACTAGATCTCCATCTCTTTTTATCCATCTGCATTTCTTATTTTACTATTTCACTTCAAGTCCCTAAGAACCACTTTTACATCTAAATATGTGCACCGTAGTGTCTGCCTCATGTTTGTCAAACTGGACTGAAAGCCAAGTAGGCTGAAATCATGAATGGTCTCCCAACTTCTTCTTTCCAGTTAGAGTTCATTGGATTTTGTGCACATAGTGATAGAGTGCATTGGATTTTGTGCACATAGTGATTATTACACTTATAGAATCAAACAAGGGCTGGACATATTTCAGATTTAATTTGTGACATCATACTGTCAGATTTCACATTGCGTATCAATTCTAATAAAATTATCCTAAATATACAGAGAGGATTTGTGATATGGACTCCTCTAAAATTACTTGCTTTGGGGCCCAAATTTCCAAGCAGAATTTCAGAAGCCTCCCAAATGAGTTTCTCCTTGTTCTACTGTCATTTTTCTATGTGAACATAAGCAAGTTACTTAGAATCCTTGGGAAAACAGAAATAACAACATCATATCAGTAGCCTAGCAACTTCTCAAAACCATTATGTGATAATGTCTATAGAGTGCTTTCAGCTTATTAGATGGAGAGGGGTTTTATAAAAACAAGCCATTTCTGGTATAGTTAAGCAATACGTACTGGAGCAAGGTCATATTGCCCAACATTTTTCACTAGTTTTCCAATTCTCTGAAAAGCTCAACAATCTAAGACTAGAAGTAATTTTAATAATGTGTGTACAGAGTAACCTTAATTAGCCACAACATAACAATAGCCCTCAAGTAAACAGATTTTTTTCCAAACTGAGAAGGCCCACATTCTTCTCAATTAACAATTTAAACGATAAGTTGACTATATTCTTCTAAATGTTTTACATGCAATTCCTCAATTAACCATTACAACTAACCTTTACAATATTAATACTCCAATTTGGTATATGAGAAAAATGACAGTTACAGAACATAAGCAAACTGATAAGAACAACTCAGTGGCTTTAGATACAGCATATAGACACAGGTAACCTGACCCAGGAACCAGGATTTTTTAACCACCATTCATTTCTAAAAGGGGAGAGGCGAGAAATTATGAGGACTATGGAAGGAAAAAAATATTTTCCTCTTCACCTTGTGACATAAGCAAAATTTGGTATGTGAGTCACAATTTTAATGTTGGATTGCTCACACAAGTTACAAAAAGGAAGAAGTAGAGACCATGACTGTGATTCTGGAGGAGTTTAAATTCCAGGAAGACCTGGTATAGCCAAGTCTGGGTAGAAAGGCAGACAACTTCTCCAGTGGTGACCTGTAAAGGTGATGATCATGTGCTTCTCAGAATTCAGCAAACACCACTGATGTAACTCTTGGCACAATCACGGGACCTGCCACCACCCTCACCTCGGACTCACCCAAAGTTCACTCCATCTAGTGTTAACTAGGAAAAGAGGGACAACAAAATTCATCTGTGTGTTCACAAGTTCTTTCAGATTTACTTGATTTAAAAAGATGACTAAACTGGTAAAGAGGATGCTATAAAATGAGAATCTCTCTCATTTGGCAAAGGTTTTTGACAAGATACTTAAATATGGGTTCACATTATCAGAGGTAGATAGATTTGGACCTTGGTGCAAGACAACTAAGGTCTCACTAATGACAAATAAAATTAATTTAATGGAATATATCTGGTTTCATCCAGAAAAGATTTTTCCCAACCACTTCAATATTTTTAACAATTTTGTTGACAACATAAAAAGCAAACAAATCCAATTTGCTGAAAGTAGGAACCTTCAGGATATCTGAAAGCTGAATAACAGAGTCAGAAATCTAAGAGTTTTTCAGGCTGAGCTCAAATAAACAAGCTGTAACATAAACCCAATCTGTGTGGCACTGCAAAAGCAGTCCAGAATTGCCAGGATTTAAAAGCAAAGTTGAGCTTAATATGGAAAGTACCTTTTCAACAATTAGTATTATCTTAAAATATTTTAAATAAATATCTTTAAAAAATACCATCATAGGAAGTTAGACAATTAGTTAGATAAATGATTTTTTTTTCCTAACAGAGCCCTGAATGGGGTTACATAGTTTTTTAAGAATATGTCGTGTATTCTTGTATATTCAGGTATGCCATTGAAAAAATAGGATATTAGCCTCTCTCTAGTTCTATGAGTTTCTTTGAAGAATCAGTTCAGATAAAACAAACAGCTGATAGCATTTTCAGAACTCATGATGTCAAAACCAGGAGCATAAGCATATAGCAATTTTGCCATACAATTGCAGTGTGGCCTGAGGATGGTTTTGAACCAGGCTCCTTTGCCTACAGACATAGCACTGAATGAGGAGAACATCCAGGAAAACCCAAAGGTCAGAAGGACCTTGGTTTTCCTTTGAGTTTCATTTAATGTATTTTTCTTTTTATCAAACATTAGGCCCTTGAGTTTGTTTTCTTTTCAAATAGTTCATATTTAGAGAAAAGATTAAAAACTTCCGTGATAAATTAGCTATTCTGAGTCCATTTTATTGCTACCAATAGTTATTTTTAATGTTTATTTTTAACACAATCCATCTAAATTCTTAAGAGATTTTGTTATCTTGATTTAAAAGCTATTGCCTTTTTATTTCTTTTGTTAGTCAAATTCCACTAGTAGTTTTATTATATGTGTTATAAATAAGTTATAATAATATTAGAATTTGGGAAACATTTTAAGATCACTTAAGAGTGGATTCTTGCTAATGTACTAGAACTGACTTTTAAAGGGACACCATAAACATTTACAGACAGTAGAACCATGGTTAATAATTACTGTGAATTTTCAAAGATTCAAATTATGAAATTATTCTTCAATGAGCAAAATAAAATGATTAGAGAGTACACTATAACTGAATTTTAATAAAATGATTTGTATAGCGCCTTCTAATTTGTGGTGTGAACTGATAAATACCATCAGTAAGAGTATAAGTTATAAGTTATAGATTAGTAAAAACCTAGATTATCGATATAAGATTTTGATAAGTGAGATAATTATAAAGCAAGAACTGTCATAGACAGGCCTAAGTCTCCACTTTGCTGACTTCTATTAAAAATCGGTTGCAAGAGCTGTTTCTGAGAAACTGATTTAAATGAAAGCTGTTTTCTTATAATATATTGTTTTCTGTACTTTGTATCCCACAAAATGTACTCAACCCAGTATATGGTGATCTTGGTGACCCAAAACTTTGAAATAGATTCTCATCCCCACTTACCACCTGCTCAAACTCAGGGTATGATTGTCTAACACCTGATCGGACCCAAGATGTGGTTAACTGAGTCGCAAAAGCTGACCACTTTTTTTCTAGCTTCTGTGATTGGCTTGCTTGCATGATGCTAAGGAAAGCCCCTGCATTGTGGTTTTCATCGTTAAGTTCCCAGGATACAGGCCAGGAAGCTACTGTTCTCCCACAGAGCTTCAGTCTCTATCGGTAAATAAAGGTAAATAAAGCTCTCTTTGATTTGAATTCAGACTTAGAGCGTTTTCTGAAGCGGCTCCCCCATAACACCAACATCTGAGATGTGGGCATTCAACTTTCAAAATCTGAATTCTTTAGGTGATACAAATTTCAGGGAATACTTCTACAAAGTCATTTCAGCATTCCTTTTACAATATTCAGAGATACATGAGAGCTACATGAATATGTAATTTCAAATGACATGAGATTATTAAGTGAAGCAGAAAACTCAAGTAGGAATTTAAAGTACTTAAGTAAAAATCTTAGAAAGAAAATACATACCCCAAAATATGCTCTCTTCCAGAAACTCACCTCATAGGCAAAGACATACATAGACTAAAGGTGAAAGTATAGGGAAAAAAAATATATCACTCACATGGATCGAGTAAACAAGCAGGGGTTTCCATATGCATGTAAGATAAAGTGAACTCAAGCCAAAGTTAATCAAAAGGAGGACATTTCATACTACTTAAGGGAAGGCTATATAAGGAAGGCATAACAATTATAAATATTTATATCCCAAACAATGGAGCATCTGTGTACATCAAAAAAATTCTTCTCAATTTCAAGAATCAAATAAACCACAACACAATAAGACTGGGTGACTTTAACACACCTCTTTCATTACTGTATATATCTTCCCAACAAAAACTGAAAAAAAAAGAAACTATAGAACTAAATAATACAATCAATAACTTAGACTTAATAGACCTATATAGAATATTTTATCCATCAACAAGCAAATACATGTTATTCTCAACAAAACAGGGATCCTTTTCAAAAGAAGACTGTATCTTATGCCACAAAGCAACTCTTAGCAAATACAAAAAAAAAATAGAGTTAATATCTTGCATTCTATCAGATCATAATGAGGCGAAATTAGAAATCAGGGATAACCCAAAAAAAACCAGAAGCTACTCTGACACCTGGAGATTAAATAATATGCTACTGAATGACCAATGGATAGCAGAAGAAATCAGAGATGAAATTAAAAGTACTTAGAAGTTAATGAGAATACAATACAACATATCAAAATCTCTGGGACACTATGAAGGCAGTGCTTAGAGGAAAGTTTGTTTCATTTATCTAATTTCTAAAACGAACAGAAAGTCAACAAATAACCTAACATTACATCTCAAAGCTCTGTAAACGAAGATCAATATCAAAAGCAGAAGACAGGAAATAATTAAAATCAGGACTGAAATCAGTGAAATTGGAAAAAAAAAAGAAACAATCCCCCCCAAATCAACAAAACAAAAAGTTGTTTCTTTGAAAAAATAAATAAAATAGATAAACCTCTAGCCATGCTAATGAAGAGAAAAAGAGAGAAAACTCAAATTTACTAAAATGTGATGAAAAAGGAAATATTACAATGGACACGTCTGAAATACAGAAGATAATTAGAAGCTATTTTGAAAATTAATACTCAATAAAATAGAAAATATGGAAGACATTGACAAATTTCTAGAGACATATGACCTACCCAAACTGAAAAAGGAGAAGATACACAATTTAAACAGATCAATTTCAAGTAATGAAATAGAAAACATCGTCAAAAGCCTATCAATCAAGAGAAGCCCAGGACCAAACACATTCTCAGCCAAGTTCTACAAGACCTTCAAAGAAGAATTAATACCAAAACTCCTCAAAGTATTACATGAAATAGAAAAGAAGATTCATTCTATGAGGCCAATATCACTCTGATACCAAAACCTGACACAGACACATCAAGAAAAGAAAACTTCAGACCAATATCCCTGATGTACATAGATGCAAAATTTCTTCAACAAAATCGCATACAAAAATGTATTAAAAAGAGAGTGTACCACAATCAAGTGTGGTTCATCCCAAGGATGCAAGGTTGGTGCAATACATGGAAATCAATAACCATAATTCATCATAGACTTAAAAATAAGAATCACATGATCATCTTAATAAATGCAGATAAAGCATTTGACAAAATACATGTTCAAAACACTAGAGAAATAAGGGATAGTAGGAACATACCTCAACATCATAAAAGATATATATGCTAAACCCAAGGTCAACATTGTAAATGGAGAAATACTGAAAGCATTCCCTCTAAAACTAGGACCAAGACAGGGATGCCTTTTTTTTTTTTTAACCACTTCTATTCAACATCATCCTGGAAACTCTAGTGATAACAATTTGAACAAAGAAATTAATAGAAAAAGAAGAACTCAAACTATCCCTATTTGCCAACAACATGATTCTATATTTAAAAAACCAAAAAATCCACTAGATATCTTCTAGAATTCATAAATGAACTCAGCAAAGTAGCAAGATATAAAATTAACACTCATAAATGAACTGTGTTCCTATACTTCAGTGATGAATCAACTGAAGGACAAATTAGGAAAATGGAGCCATTCACAAAAAAAGTCTCAAAAAATATTTGGAAATCAATCTAACAAAAGAGGTGAAAGAACATTATAATGAAAACTATAGAATTCTAAATTAAGAAATTGAAGTAGACCTTAAAAGATGGAAAGATTTCCAGTGTTCTTGGATACACAGAATTAATATTCTCAAAATGGTCATGCCACCAAAAGCACTATATCCCTATTAAGGTTTAATGCAATTTCTACTAAGGCTCCAATGACATTCTTCATAGAAAAAGAAAAAGCAGTCAATAAATTCATTTGGAAAAATAAAAGGACTAGAATATCCTAAGCAATATTTGGTGAGAAAAGTGAATCAGGAGGCATCTCAATACCCTTAAATTATAGTACAGAGCTATCATGAAGCAAACAAACAAGTAAAGGCATTGTATCGTCCACAAAAGAGATATGAAGACCAATGGTACAGAATAGAAGACACAGAGACATACTCACAAAAATACAGCTATCTCATACTCGACAAAGGTGCCATATAAACATATATTGGAGAAAAGATAGCATCTTCAACAAAAGGTGCTGGGAAAACTGGAAATTCATATGCAATAAAATGAAATTAGACTCCTATTTCTCACCCTGCACAAAAATCAACTCAAAGTGGTTCAAGGACCTAGGCATTAGACCAGAGACCCTGTGCCCGCTGAAAGAAAAAGTAGACCCAAATCTCTATCTTGTCAGCTTAGGAACAGAATTCCTCAACAAGACTCCTAAAGCACAAGAATTAAAATCAAGAAACAATAAATGGGATGGTATCAAACTAAAGGGCTTCTTCATAGCAAAGGAATCAATCAAGTACATGAAGAGAGAGCCTACAGAATGGGAGATTATCTTTACCACATGCACCTCAGATACAACATTAATCCCCAGGACACATAAAGAACAACAACAACAAAAAAAACCACTTAACACCAAATAAACAAACAAAAACCCAAATAACCCAATCAATACATGGGCAAAAGGAAGTATAACAATAAATGTTGGTGAGAATGTGGAGAAAAAGTCTACTCATACATTGCTGGTGGGACTGCAAATTCCAATGGACTCTTCCAAAGACGGAACACCACTCTCTGTTCACAGTATCTTTTGTACAGTACAGACTTCTGGGTTTCAAGACTTTCTCATGCAAGTCGCCTTGATTTCTCCCCCCTTCAACAAGGGACCCTGGTTCCTGCCACAGCTGCTGAGCAAGCATGATTATAGCAGTGGAAACTAGCAGCTTGCGGCTATTAACAAAGATAGAAAGAACCATCTTACGATGGAATTGCCGCTTCACCAAGAGCAAATGGTCAAGGTCACGTCTTCACTTTCCCAAGATCTGAAAATCCTTTAGCTCTGTTTTCCTTTCCATTCTCAAAGTAAATCAGGCTAAAAGCTACCAGCTATATCCTTGCCATTAGCTGAAAGCTGTGCTGTCCTGAAATTTCCGTCTCCCAGATTAGTTAGCCTCCCCGCCTTTTTTTTTTTTAAAAAAAAAAAAAGCAGCCTCACAGAGTCTCAAGGCATGGGCAAATGGAATCACGTTCTTGGTACCAATTCTGTTTCAGTTAGCTTCATTTCATGCTGTAACCACACCACCCAACAAGAACAACTTAGGGATGAAAACTTTATCCCGAGCTCATGAATTCAAAGGTCTCAGTTCGTAGAGGATCCAACACAAAAATGCTCTGGGCCTAATTGAAGGAGCATATCATGGGATGAGGGCCAAGCAAAGGAAAGCTGCTCCCTTCATGGCAACAAGGCAACAGAAAGAGGGGAAGGAGACACAGGGAAGAAGCACACTTTGGGGCATTACTCCAGGGACCAACTTCCTCTAGTTACATTCCATCTGCCTACAGTTAACACCCAGTTAGTCCATTGAAATTAGCAGGGTCTGATTAGGTACAGCTCTTGCCATCCAGTCTTTTTACCTTTGAATATTCCTGTATGAACACAGGAGCTTTCAGGAATCACTTCATTTTAAATCACAAGCAGCTGTAAGCCCACCTGCTCGAGACACTGAGGCAGGGGATCATGTGTTCAAGCCAAGCCTGATCATCTTAGTTAGCCTTTGTTAATTCCTCGAGAGTAACAGAAATGGAGTAGTATAACTGTACAATGGAATACACTACTACTGAGATGAAAGAAATAATTATTTTTTGGGAAAGCATGAACTACCACAAGAACATGAGCCTTTGAGGGTCTAATGATCATTAGGAAGTTAAATTTCCCATTTGAAAATCTCCAAAGGGATCCTCAAAGATAGATGATATCACTGGAAAATTCTACTGCACAATTAAAGATGATTTAGTGCAATTCTATGCAGTCATCTCCAGGATGTAGAAAAACAGGGAGCAATTCACAACTTATTTAATGAGGCCGACATTACCAGATCATTAAACCAGAAATGATTGTGCCAAAATAAAACAATGGAAGAAACCTCAAATTGACTGATCAAAGTCCATCATGAAATAGACATGAAAATCCTTATATAATAATACATTTCATTGACAAAGGTAGAAAAATCACATAGCCAAATTCAACATCCATGGAATAAAAACTCTTAGAAAAATAGGAATTGATAATGATATGGG